CAAAACAAAACAAAACAAAACAAAACAAAAAAAAACATAAATACATCTTGTATTCATACAACAGAAAATACAAATCAGAAATTTTGACTTAATTTGAGTCAAATTTTCAGACTAACAAGACAAATAATCTTACACATTCTGAAAACAAGATTATTATTCTTACACAATCAGTTCTTGTTTAGTAAATCAGTCTTAAAACAAGATCAAAAAGACTTTTTGGCTGATATAAGATTTTAAAACTTTGTAAGATGGACAGTTTTTGCAGTGCAGCTCTCAATGAATCATCTTTTTCTTCCTAGACAAAAAAAACAGATCTTTAATATCATGTGTTTTATAACAGTAATATTGCATCTCCTGTTTGTTGTCTCTGATGTGCATTGTGGAAACAAACACYGGAGGAGTTGGCTCGGAGCTGCTGGTGGACTGTATGTACAGCATCAGGTAACACACGACAGGGTTTAATTACATCCGTGGAAGGGCTGACCCAGACTGAACCGGTCTCTGCACACACGCTGCCAGATGTCTGATCCCCTCGGCCCGCTCCTGCTCCACCACTGTCTTTAGTATTAATGCGAGCCGGACCTTGTCCTTTTGACGTGGTTTGATTCATGTGAGAATGAGACGTGCTTACTGAATAGTTGATGAGCTGGGAGAAGAAGAAAAGAAGTGCCAGAGTGGGGTGGGTGCAGAAGCGGAGAGAGGAAGGGAGGGTTCGAGGGAGAGAGTGAGCAGAAAGGAGAGGACCCACTCTCCTCCCTCCACACAGCCTCAGTGAGCTCGCCAGGTCCGGAGGCTCCATGTCAAACTGAGAGGTCCTGATTCTGAGGAGCAGCAGGGAGCAGAGGATGGCCCGTGCCTTCAGCTGAGCGGAGGAAACTGAGGCTCGCCATGGAGAAACTGAAAGGTCCCACTGTGGGAGGCACTAAAGCCACCTGTGGATGGAGAGCCCTGCTCCTCCCGCAGCTCAACAGACAGTCTCTGTACGTGTACGGCAGCGAGGTGGCCGTGGAGAAGGAGTGCATCCGTCAGCTGGAGAGTGGAGTCTTTGTCATTCACCCTTTCAGCCCCATGAGGTATTTCATTTATCTGATTCATCTGCACCAGTCCTGTCCAGAACTTTCACCAGGTCTTTGGGTTGTTTTTCTTCTTGTTCAACACATCTCTGAACAAGGTGCTCAGCAGAGCAAAAAGTAAATAATTACCGTATTTATTCATGTATAATACGATCTCAAGTATAATTCGGTCATCATTTTTGAACTTAAAAAGCATAAAAAATCTAATCACCAAAAACCCATGTATAATACGACCCCCCTACTTTATGGATGATTTTTAGGGTTAAATTTCTAGTATTATACATGAATAAATACAGTATAAAACCACCATGCCTGATTCTGCTTTGCAACATATTTTGAATGTTAGGAGATTCTTCCTTCCTGTTTATCTTACTGATATTTTTGCTCTTATTGTAATCCAAATTAAAGATTTGACTACCTTGTATTAAATATGTTTTTGACTAAAAGAGATAAAATGATCTCACAACAAGAAGGTTCATTTTTGATTGGGGCCTTTCTGGTGTGAAGTTTGTATAAATAAGTTTTCTTCAGGCAGTACAGTCCAAAAACATGTTCGATGATAATAAACTAACCTTGGGTGAGAATGTGATTGGTGGTTTGTGTCTGTGTAACCCTGTAACGACCTGGCGACATGTTTTTACCTCGTCTCACCTGGTAAATGCTGATGGGCACCGGCTCCCTGCAACTCTGAACAGGGTCAAGCAAGAATAGAAAATTAGAGCAATAAAAACTTTCTAACATCACAGRCCTTGTATCAAATATAAAATAAATGACACAAACAACAATTATAATTATTCAGTTTTAAAAAATCAATTCAAAAAATATATTCATTTCATTAAAAAGTAACTATATACAATAAAAAACAAAGAAAATACACAAATCAAAAATCAAAATAAAATGAAAGGTAGCAGAAGGATAAATCTTTAAATTTAATTTAATTTAATTAAAAAGTACTTTAATTTTTATTTAAAAAGGCAAAAGTTGGAGTTTCAGCCATTAAACTGTCGCATTATTGATTTTTTTTTATTTTAATTTAGATGTGGTTGGTACTGTATTGTTACTGATGTGCAAGTCAATGATTTGGAGCAAGAACAGAGTGAATGAAACAGTAAAAACCATAGAGAAGGGTTATTTGAGCCAAGCAATTGAAGCCAGCCTGACGAGATGTGCAGTTACACTATCAGAGTATTTAGTGTGCATAAATCAGCTTGTCTTACCGCCTGCTGCACGACTGCTAAACTGAGACCGCAAACCAAACACTGAAAATAAAAACTGCTGAAACATCACTCGTGCAGACGTTTGAATCTCTCTCCTGCAGGAGTTACTACATTATGTGCATGATGGCCATCACCTTCCTGAACCTGATTGGGATTCCCATGGAGATAGCCTTCATGGACGGCACCGGTGGGCTGGCCTGGGAAAGTTTCAACGTGTTCTCRGACACCTTGTTTCTGCTCGACGTGGTTCTGAACTTCCGAATGGGGATCATAACAGAGGACGCCGAGGTGAGAGCGGCTGCGCTCTATTTTCAGACACAATCTGGGAAGGCGATAATCCCTGCACACACGAGCTCATACAGTCCATCTTTGTCCCATCTGTAATCTACTCAATACACCAAAGGCAAGATTAACTTCCCACTGAGCTCCATCTAGGACAACATTGGCACCTGATGTTAGATTTTATAACAGGGATTAGGATGTTTTTGTTAAATAAGCACGTAACGTTTACAATTAATCAGCCTGCATGCCATTTGCTCCCGTTGACTCACGAAATTCCCGCTAATCACAAATGACCCATCTGTGCTGTTGTTCACACAAACATCTGGTTTTGTCAAATTTATTTCTAAGTTCTGTAAAATATTCATTTATTTGCTTCAGAAACATTTTGAAAAAAATGTCAAATATATGCAGACAAGTGATAAACTATCAAATTTGTCACTCAGTGTGTCAAAATCCAGATGTTTAATAAATGTTTTGTTTTTCTTTTTTTTTTTTTCCAGGAAGCTATTTTAGATATAAAGAGGATCCGACTTAGTTACCTGCGGACATGGTTCATCCCAGACATCATAGCAGCTTTCCCAATTGGATACATTCTCCTGTTTGCGGTAAAAATAAAGAAAATATCAAAATTAAAACATTATAGTGAAAATGGGAGTGGTTTATTGTTACAGACAAATAGTAATGTTACATGTAAATGAATAAAAACATAGAGTAACTAATCAAGAAACAAAATTTATAAAAGGATTAAAAGWAGAACAGTGGTTAAATGGTCAAAAAAGGTCTAATTCTAATAATAATAAAACACTCTGTAGGACTTACATTACCACAGTGATGACAACCCATCCAAGACCAACAAGATGATGAGGATCCTGATGTTTGTGCGGATCCTCAGCCTGATTCGACTCGCTCGAGTGTCCAGGCTGGTCCGGTTCTTTAACGAAGTGGAGAAGGTCAGTTTAGCTCCAAATGGTTTTACTCATTTCATCTCTTTTCGTTCTTCCCACTGATATGATGTTTAACTGGAAAAAGCTTGAAAGTGTGTTTTTGATTCAAGCGGCGGTCCAGTGTTCACTTTTCTAAGTCATGAGCCATTTCCTGTAGGGTTGAATAATAATTTGACATCATATTGCCATTATAAGTATTTATATTATTTTTAATCTCTTCTTTGGAACTTCACATGTAGAGTTGGGAAATACATTCCTCTTGTTCAGAATCAGAATCAGAATCATTTATTGTCATTCACACATCAAGTTGTAGWGCAGAGCGAAATTTGCAGTTTAGAACATCCATCCGGAGAAACACACACACATGACAAACATGGGGGAACGAAAGTCCAGGGTCTTTCGCAACGTAGTGCGCTACCTTTGCAGATTAGAATACAAACACACATAGGAAAGATGAGTTTAAAAAAGAGCTTTGATCCTGTGTTTTGTACAGAAAAACACACGAGCATAAGCTCAAAAAACTACTCTGCAGACAGTGCAGACAGCTAAGGAGGGGTGGGGGATCAAAGCATATGGTGTGGGGAGGGATGCATGCAGGGAGCCGGTGACATCCAGGGCAGACTTTGTGCCGGAACCAGTCAGAGACCAAACCAGWTATTATCAGTCAAAGCACAGGTCACCAGAGTTCAGTTCTCTGTCTCCATCCAATGCGGCCTTCAGACCGATCCCAGACGCAGATGGAAACGGATGGGGAGAGCGGGAGTCAAGGCTTTCTTTCATGTGTCATTCCAGGGAGGTTTTTATTAGCCTGCGACCAAGGTCACAGCTGTGGGAATCTAATGATAAACAGAATTGTTTTAGGGCAAGCAGCAGCTTTTCTTCACTGCTTTGAGTCTTAACTGCACCTCTGTGTTGCGAAAAATGCCAATATTCCAGATTCGTTTACCATCTCGCCTCTCCCGTACCAAACTTCACCCAGATGTAGCTCACTCCTCACGGTGGGCACACTGCTGGGCTGTGATCCTTGTCAGCACCACATCCAGTCTGCGACTTAAATTTCCCATCATTTGAGTCTGTGCGTTTGCAGTATAGGAGATCCCATCCAAAGGTCCCTGACAGCTTTTCACAGGCCCGGACTGCTGTCAGGATCGTTTTCATTTTCCGATAAATCAGGATTCCTCCACAGCCGATCAGCAGGAATCCAATTATCACAAATCYGAATATAAACACATCTTCGACATCTTCAATGGAAAGTGAGGCCAGGCAGATCTGGTTCCACCCCCAGCTTGCGGTCAGCCACGGTTCCACTGAGACAGCTTTGCTCCCCTCGCTCCAATCTCAGAGTGTTGTTTGTTGGTAGTTAACATGCTTGCTTAAATTTTTTAATTGGTTTAGGGGTTTGTCTTTTAGATTTTATAGAAGATTTTAGTTTGAATGATTATTTTGTTTCTCTAAATTTATGTGGGAAAATGAATGGTTGTTTGTCTCATTTGTCTCAGTGTGTCCCTGTGATGGATGGTTTTTATCTGTCAGAGGTTCTTATTATCTGTTACTCCTGTTCCCAGCTTGGATTTCATCTCACCTTTAATTTCACATCAAGTTTAGTTTACATTATTGAAACAAATGCTATTTTTGGACCATTTTTCGTATGAAAAAAACAAATATTTTTGAGTTTTAGAGTTTGACATGAGGTCTGAAGGACATTGAACAGGGCATTCAATAAGACAGAACCAAATGTATTTTTAAATTACCAGTAAAAAAGTCGAAGTTGTGGCATTTGAAGTGAGCCCTGGTACCATCTCCAAAAYGAAGGCCAAGTTCCATATAACAGGAGAATTCAGAGAAAGGCCATGAAGTGGGTTTCGCATGAAGATGATTTTCTCATCTTGTCAGCGCTTAGGTACCGTAGGCTGTCTTCTACCAATTTGCAATCAARGTTTGCAGGATGATGTGGCCGATGGCTTTCTGCCCAGATGATCCAGAACAGACTGCACGCAGCCAAGCTCTGGTCCCATCAAGCAACCAGAAGGCCAGCTATGACTGCCCTTCATCATCAGGCCCATTTGCGCTGGTGTTAGCATCATGTGCACTGGAATCAGATCATGCAGAGGAACGTTATGTTCAGCAGACGGAGAACAAGATGGAGAACATTATGCTGAATGCTGCATCAATACAAAATCTTTTGGTGGCGACAGTGTGAAGGTGTGGAAGCTTGCTTCACTAGACAAACAAGGCTTGTCATCATTGGAAGCCATCGCAAAGCAGAGCGATATCGAGATGAAATTCTGCAACCAGTGGCAATCTCATAATCCCGTATCTATCTGTCTACAACCCCACAGTCTATCCTAAACTCTATCCTCCAAGATGGCAATGCTCACCCCCACAGATTATCAGAGACTACACCCAGAATTTGTCGGTGGATAGGACAGAATGGCCTGCCAGCAGTCCTGACCTCAAACCCACTGAACACTTGTGGGATCTGTTTGGTAAAAATGTCTCTTTTGAGGGAGGTCTTCTGAGACCAGGGTCAAAGACAGGTGGAAATGTTTATTCCCCCTTGGGGTGACCCCTACATTCCCCCTTTTTGGAGGTCATCACCTGTCCATGGTGATGAGATGCAACACAAAATGGAAACCCCAAAATGTCTTTGATCTTGAGTTAATTCAATTGGTGAAACGGAATAGTCCAAATGGTATTCCAAACTGAGAACTTGGCATAGCAAAAGTTTCCTTCTTGGAGAAGAAAGAAAATATTGTGTTATAATTCCCACTGGAAGACAAATATAGTAATCCAACRGAAGCAAAAGTTTTATAATCCACCAAGGAAAATTGTAATCCACAAGGGTAATTCTACTGCGATTGCGATTGGGGTGGTTGATCTGTAGTCAACCAATTTCTGGAACAATGTGAAGAAGCAGAASATTTCTGGAACCCTCCTTTTAGAGAGTTGATGTCTGGAAGGCTGCAGATGAGGTGGGGGTCTCTGGTTCAAGGCTAGAGATCAGCAGCAGGAACAGTGTGGAGATGGATAAGACCAGGAGGCTGCAGGTCAAGAGCGCTGAAGTGTGCCAGGACCTTGTCAGGTGAGAAGGACCATCATGGAGGATGCTGGATGTTGAGTTGTTTCCAGTTTGTGCCCTTCTGSTTACTATGTGCTATGCATTTATGTGGTTTCAGATTAACCTAAATATGGGGATTTTACATTAAGCCATTCCTATGTATACCTTTGAGTGTTCGCTATCAAGTTTTAGATAAGTTCTTTTCATTGTGTAACTTTGATTTATAAATTGATAACTTTTAGTTAAAAGAAAATATAAATAAAAAATATAAAGAGCATTATGGTTTTGTTTATTATCTTGATTAAAGAAAATAAAATGTCTCTATTGGGGGAGGTCTTCTGAGAACAGGGTCAAAGACAGGTGGAAATGATTATTCCCCCTCGGAGTGACCCCTACACAACCCACATACTCAGCTCTACTGCTCATCCCACAAACACGTGTTCCTTACAAATGTGCAACTATTGAAAAGAGAAATTACTAGGCTTTCCAACGGTATAAGATATAATGCCAAGAAGCATTGTTACGACAAAAACATAATCTACCAATCAAAATTGTCCTTACTTTTTGTGTTAAGGTTAGTTGACAAATCCTACCTTGCTGTACGTGACATGCTTCCTTAGAGTCTACCTGAGGTGGTAARCTCTTACAACGAGTGGTTTGTTTTTCTGTATCTACTTTTGGGAGGCTTACTGTCTGCTTAAAATATGATAAAATATTTAATATAGCTGTCTGTTCCTTCTTCTGTTGTGCCAAACTGCAGCCCCAAAACCAAGGCACAAACCAAACTGTAAATCATGTGATATGTTAAACTCTTTCATAAATAGTGTTATTCAGTAAAACTTGGATTATGTCAAAAAGAAAAAATCAGTAGGACCTCTGGATGGGTTCTTCTTTAGTGAAACGTTTCGTCTCTCCTCCAAGAGACTTCTGCAGTCTGATGAGTTTCAGGTGAACTCAGCCTTATAAGCWCYGCCTCCACMTGGACAAACAGGTTAGTCATATGCAAAAGAGGGCCATCGCCTAACAATAGACTTGATTAACTCTATTGTTAATAGAGGGTCATGTGTCCCATCACCTGACTTATTGGTTTGGATGCTTCAGCTGTGGTTATTGGTTGTTTTGTTATGTGAATGTAGTGAATGCAAGCAGGGCTCAACGTCCCCTTGTTTTTGTCTCTCTTTTCTTATTTTTGTTGGTATCATTGCGGACCTGATTCACACCTTTTGCTCACAGGGGGCTGAGTCATACTTGCGATAACAGCGTTGTATGAAGAGGACAACTGGACACGAAGGCCTCCACCTGTTTAATGGTGGACRATTTTTCTTCATAAAGATGGCTTCCTTTACTCCTCTCTCAAACCAACGTTCCTCTCTGTCAAGGATGAGAACATCTTCATCCCTGAAAGTGATGGCTGGCCTGTAGATGAGTGTAAACTGCAGAGTCCTGGCCTGTAGATGAGTGTAAACTGCAGAGTCCTGGCCTGTAGAAGAGTGTAAACTGCAGAGTCCTGACCTGATGATGTAGCTCGTCTGTGCTGGCTCATTCTTTTGAACAGTGACTGTTTTGTTTCCCCAATGCATAAATGATCACAGTCCTCCTGACACTTAACAGCATATACTACAGAATATTACTCTGTTTTTGCTGGGAAACTGGATCTTTGGGGTGAACTAATCTTTGTCTTAACGTGTTTTGGGGTTTGAAAGCCACTGGGACGTCATGTTTTGACAGATTAACAGTATGGCTGCACACACCTCAGCTGAGATGGATTATTGTTCTAAACTTACCTTCAGGGTGTCGAGTTTCATGTTTTGTGTTCTTGACAGGTGTCAAATGCAAACCTGGAGGTGGTCCGTTTGTTCTTCCGCATATTGTCTCTCTTCATGATGATTTTTTTGCTGTGTCACTGGAACGGCTGCATTCAGTACTTTGTGCCTATGCTGGAGGAGTTTCCCACTGACTGCTGGGTCCGGAAAGAAAACCTGATGGTAAAACTCATCAAACTTCAGCAAAAGGAAAATAAATATTGATGTTAAACAGTTACTGCTTACAACTTTCCACAAAATTTTAAATCGTATACGGTACAAAACAAACAAAAAGATATTTATGGTACTCCAGATATCAAGTAAAATTAAAACGTTGGATGTCTTTTTTTTATTTCTGCAGAATTCCACAGTCATTGTAAAATACTCTTGGGGAGTTTTTCGAGCTCTCTCTCAGATGATTGCTCTCTCCTATGGTTCCATGGACGCTCCAACAAGTGTGTATATTCACTTGTTTTTATTTGACATTTTAAAACGCACACATGGCACTGAAGCTTGAGGCTTGTTGCTCTTCAGATTACATCGAGCTGTGGAYCGTTATGGTCAGCATGGTGTCCGGCTGCCTGATGTACACCATCCTAGTGGCCAACGCTACGACCATGATTGCCAACCTCGACCCTGCAGCCAAGGAATACAAGAGCAAGGTCCTCATGGGTGACTCTTTCTGTGCCTTAGCAAATTTTTTTTAAGTATTCCTCTCAGAGTGGACATGTGTAGCTGTATGTGATATATTATGAAAGGAGCTGCCGTTACTGTCAACAGATGAGCCGTTTGGAGCACTACATGACCTTCATGAAGCTGCCACCAGAGCTGCAGCTTCGCATCAGCAACTACTACCAGGCTCGCTACGGAGGGAAGTGGTTTGATGAGAAATACGTTATGGATACAGTCTCCTCGTCACTCAAAGAGGTACAACTCAGAACTAATCACTCATCACTGAATTACCTCTGTTGGATTTCATTTTACACAGAGGATATTGATATTTTTATCACTTCATTGTTCAATTCAAATTATTATCGTTACTTCCATATGCAGTAAAGTTTTATTACCCACAAAGAAAAACTGTTTATTCAGATTGCACAGAAATAATACATGCGTGAAAGACAGGAGAGCAGAATCTCAAATTTCTCCATTTACTGAGCTCAAACTGTTTAATGACACACATACAGGAATGTTTCCATAATACTTCTGACTCATGTTACAGTTGTGTGTTCATCTTTGAACATGCACCTCAAGCAAACAGATTGAATTGTTGTTCTTTTTATTATTTCAGCAAATCCTGACAGTGATGTGCAACCGGCTGCTTCAAAATGTGCCAATGTTTCAAAACAGAGATGAGAACTTTATTAGTGACCTCCTCCCTAAACTGGAGTACGAGGTTTTCCAGGAAGGAGACGTCATCGTTCGACAGAACGTTCCAGGTGATCACATGTTCTTCATCGATCATGGCCAGGTTCTCATGGAGATGGATTCCTACGAGAGAGAGCTGTGCGATGGAGACTTTTTTGGAGGTGRGTTGGATTATTTTCGGTCCAGTTTGTTTCAGATGGACCCAACAGTGCAGACTAACAAAAGGACCGACTTCACAAAAATCAGGATTTCAGTCACAAAATAAAAAATGCTGACATGACAGGAAACTAAATACAAAGAGTAGTGAAGCAGACGGGGAGGATTGATAACAAGAAGTGACAACTGTGCCTAATGAACACRAGGAGCAGGTGTGGTCTGAGGGCAAGAATGCAGGCAAATATGGAAATTTCTGCTTTAAAATTAGAAGTTTTAACATAAAACCTTTTGGGATTATTTGTCAAAACTACTAAAATTTACAGATCTAGTAGAGGTACAAACAGCACTAATAACATTTAAAGTCAAAAACAAATTATTACCAGGCAATATTCAGAAATKATTTGTTGAAGGGGGAGGGGAGTYATCATTTAAGGGGTCAGTTTAACTTTAAATCAAGGATTGTTCATACAGCTCGCAAAGGGTTTTGTATTTCTGTTGGTGGAGTAAAACTGTGGAACAGTCTGAGTGTGGAACTTAAGGAATGTCCAAACATTTAAAAAAATTAAGGAGAGGTGTAAAAATGTTATTTACAAAAGATATAGGGATGCTCAGTATGTCTGATTATTATTTTTTTATTTTTAATTATTTTTTGTTTTTTGCAATATATGGAGATGTTTGGGGCTGTGTATATATGTGTTTACATGTGTATACATTTATGTGTTTATGCATGTACACTGCATGTAGATGTACATTTACGTTTATGAATATATTCTGGTATTATATAAAGTTCTAGGTAAACAGATTGTTGTTTTAATCTTTATGATATTGTAACTTAGAATAAGGAAAAATAAGAATTTACTTTTTTTTGTTAATAAGCTTTGGAGAAGGGTGGGATTAAATAAGTTTTTTTACTTCTTCCCATTCCTTTTCAAATATGTTAATTTTGTTA